ACTTCAGCAAAAACTAAAAAAAAAGGTGAGAACTAGAACTTTATAGGAGTGTATACACACGGTGACGCTTTCCAACAACATTGTGAGATGTGGGCCAAGAATGCCCCTGTTATTTTTTATGTGTGACGGCATGTTTTCCTGAGACCGATGGCACGACCGCGTTACGCCACCGTTGCCCCGAATGAGCCAACATGGCCTTGATATGTAGGCCCCTGGCGACATAGAACTGTTTACATGCGCAGCATCTGCGCATGGGCCCTCAGCAGGCATGCTCATTCGATATTACGTTATGGTGTGAGAACATATAGAATATGAAGTGCGGTACATAAAATGCTGGATTCGCAAAAGGCAAGCCCAGCTACAAAGAATTATGCTACGTGACGCAAGTCAGATAAAAGGCGTAGTGTTGCTAAAGCTGAATACTAGGACGAATTATGTTTTTCTCTTGATAATCAATGACGGCATGAGTGACTTCTATGGAAATGCACAGGCATAAAATATGGTTCAAATCCTTTTCGCATATTTATTTAGTCTATTATTATAAAAATGAATAAAATTTGTTTATGTTAGTAGTGGTACGGCTATCACCATATAACTCGTGAATATTGTTTTTTTTTTCAGTAAAGACCTAAGTTATCCATTGGTACTAAGGCCTAGTATATACTACCAATGTTAGCGACGAATCATCTAAATTTTTAATTCATCTTCGTCATCAAAACACGATATCTGAAGAGCCCACGGCAAAAGCAATCTTTCGATCGCTTAACAATGCCTTGGACACCTACAACAAACACCATGGTTGTATTCGAGCCACGCTAAAGCTCGCATAAAAAACGCTTTACATAGTGGAAAGCGGTAATACAGGATCTGCTGAACAATACGAGGAGATAGATCAATAAGTACCACACGGGAATGGTTCACTTTGGTATCACTATAGATAGTATAGGGCGTAACAATGAGTTTGACAAGTTGGTAACTACGTACCTTTCTTCCATGCAAGAAAAATTTATCTGCCGGCAAGTTCGAGGAAATAATGACCATTAGAAGCACAGTAAGATACCACAGCTACGCTGCACTTCACAAGACCTGTAGTTTTTTTTTATACGGATCACACATAAAAACAGGTACATTCATGCACAAACAATTCATTAACATTATCAAAATGTTCAGTCTTAAACCAACGGTTCAGGATGTTACGAACCAGGCAGCTCACACTCTTAAAGTTATCATACATTAGATATTTCTCTTTTTTTTACTCGTCCTAAGCCATTGCAGCTGTTCACAGATGATAACGCTGTGAAGTAGACGGTGTCACTGCTGGAAAATGAGGTATATCAGCCCATATATAAATTAAGTACTCATGTGTTGGCTTACGCTGTTCGTGTGACATGAGCAACAAAATGCAGAACAAATTTAGTAAGCGAAATATACATCTAGATGTTCTAAACGAGAAACCAGCCTCTAGCATGTATGACATGCAAAATATAGAGGACAATACCTAAGCGACCGTATAATTCAATGCTTTTCTGCGCTTCTCAAAGATTTCAGGTCATTAGAGATCAGTGATTTCGTTTGAGACAACGGCTTGACTCACGGTGCCAAGCAACTGATTATACCTGCCGAAATCGGCTCTGGCAATCTGAGGGTTTACAAAAGAAAACAGAACGAAACATCAAAGCACTGTTTCAGTCTCCGTAAATTTTACAGCCGCCTCCATTACGCACAGTCTGAGCTGCGGTGCTCGCTGACCCGAAACAGCCATAGGTTTGCGGCCTCCACAGCGCCTCCCAAGCAAGCAACGCACGAGCGAGACGCGCCGACTCGGCACGATCTAAATGAGTCGAGAACGCACCCTCCCGGACTCGCAGCGACGGCGCGACAAGAACACCGTCTCGGCCGAACCCTCGCTGTTAGCTCGCTGTGGTCGACCCTGCGATGGCGGGGAAGGGAGATGGAAAACACTGACTGCAAAGCGCGAAGCTGTCTCAGACCCCCGCGTTAAGGCCCCGGCCCGTTTTTCCCCTGAATCAGGGTTTATTTCTGGACCGCCGGAGAGTCGACAGATCTCTTTCTTCCTTTCCCACCGTCGACGGCCACAGCCTCGCTCTACCTGGCCCTTCCCCTCGCGTCTACACACTTTCTCCAAAGCCTTCTTCTCTGTTGCGAGCCACATATCCTTGCCTTCGGCCGGAGCCGGATAGATAGTTGCGCCCAGGAACACCGTGTTCGTGTTGTGTTTGCTCCGCGTTCTTCGCGGAAAGTGTAGCGTGTGGCCGACGTCCTCGGAGTTTCCTGAAGGCGCACGTTCCTACGGCGCGCAAAGGCGAGCACGGTGTTCGGACCACTATCGACTCGAGCACAAAAGCCAGAGGCTTACGCAGTACCAGCATCGAGGTGCCCTTCGCATCGAAGACCACAGCAACCTCCTACCAAGACCTTGTGAGCAGAAAACCGTGTCGCTTCTTTGCAACATCATTCCTCCCTCCCCAGGTTTTCTTTGCCGGCGCCTTCGCATGCAGCGTCACCGCATTGGGAAGCAAAAGAAATACTTGCACGACCCGGCTGCTTTGTGTTTCTTTGTCTTGTTACGAGAGTGTTCTGCTTCAGTTGCCTCCGCACGCTTTGAGATAGTTTTAGCTTCGAGCTGAAGTGGTGCACCGCGGTTGAAAAAGAAAAAGGCAATAAGAAAAGTAGTCATGCTGTCAAGATTGAACCGCCTACTTCGGCAACTCGAAGACAGCCAGCTTGAACGCGTTTGTATTTTTAATTACTTTGAATCGCGAGTGGTCCGCTTTGAAGGTCAGTGTGTTTTGTGTTGCAGCATGCGGCTTATTTCCAAGCGTCGATTGCGAGAAGCAAGACGGCTCTTATGTATGACTATTGTTGGTTGAGTATAGAAAAAACCGTTGACAATACTCAAATGCTGTTTGAGAGCGACCATTATTGAAAGCAAAGAACTATTTGAATCACGTCCAAGGGTGGCATCACATTGAATGTTAGGGCGAGAACAAAAATGAAAACGCTGTGTTTGTATTTGCGATAGAAACTCTCTTCACGCGCCCGTGAAATTCAGGGGTCAGAAATATTCTGAGCAGAAACGATTAAACAATATAAACGAGCGTGGGACAAAGCCCTCTGCGAAGGAATGCATTCAGAAATTAAACATCAAACGTTTTGTGGACGAGTGGATTTTAATGATTAACGCAGAAATTCTGTCTCGCGCAGCGAAGTAGCTCATGTGAAAGGAGCCAGTAAGAGTAGGGCCATTAAAGTTTCCGGAACTCCGAAAATTGAGCGCACTGACTTTACGACTTTCACCCCGCGTTCTGCAAAGTCATTACCAACAAAGTTAGAACGTGAGGCACAACAGAAACGCATGGAAAAACAGTACTTTGTTTTGCGTTTTGTACGGGGCATTAAAACCCCGCTTGAAAGAGTGGGTAGAAAAGTTTCGCCATTCCTATAGTTTGCTTTCCTGAAATTCCAGTTAGCAAATAAAATATACAGGCACAAACTGAGTTACAGGAACTAATTTTCCGAAAGATCTGGTGTTTTATTTGTATGTATGAACTAAGTTTATCCCATTAAAATAGGTTATGCATTTTATTGTTGCCTAAATCATTTTTCTTATGGCTGAGTTTGCAAAAACTGGTAGACCACATAAACAAATTTATTACACCCAAAGGGATGTCAAAGAACATGAATATTCATAAACTTTTTATACACATATACATAATAGCTTCTAGTCACTATGTGCGCTAGTTATACAAAACTTTCAGCTCTCTTGGCTTAACGAGATACATGCAGCAGGCATATTCGTGATCATGCACGTATACATCTAATTATTTGATCTTATCCCTAACAAGCCTTCAAAGGCTATCAACATGGGTCTGTTATCTAGGTAGGGGAGGGCGAGATTCAAGATTAAAATGGGTTGGGACTTACAATAATTCTACAATAGTTGATGATGTTTAGCTCGCGTTTCTTTTACTGCTATATCATAGGGCTTTTGCGGGACACAAGACGAAGGGATAATTTGCAATGTAATGAGCTGAAACTTATCAATATTAGATGAAAACATTTTCCAGAACGAAGATACTCAAGCAGTAGTGAAAAATGAAACAGCAAATATATAGTCGTACCAGGAAACACCTGCTCTGGAAAGTCTGGCGTAGTTCTGCAGGCAATCATTGTACATTAAGAGAGAGGTAGACGCCTTTGCGAACACTCTACTCCACGTACATGAAGTGAACTATTCTTATTTTCGAGCGGAAACTTAAGCCTTGATGCAGTATATACGTTCATGCTTAGAACATTAACTTTGCTCAACAAGCACGTTTCGAAGCTCCGAAAAGGCAGGTGATAATTGATTAAGCCGCGTGTGCGTTAAAAGTTGATATAGTGATAATGATTGATGATAACGCCTAATGAGAGCGCTCGATAAACAATTTTCCGCTTCGTACTTGGCAGCGTTTCACATTGCGTTGTCTTTTTTTTTTTCGAAGAAGCAACATGTGTAGCGATGTCGCTTAAGTGTTCGTGATTCGTTAAAAAAATTGTTTCGATCAACAAGACCGGGATACAGAGCCAGCTTATTAGGCTTATCAACGAACAGCTTTCCTTCACAGCTTCGTCCCAGCCGTTATAGGCTTTCTTTGCTCACCAGAAATGATGGCGAATATATTTTACAGAGTAAATGCGGCTTTACGTTGCCCCGGCAGAGTGCAAGAAAACAGGCCGCGTGCAGGGATTACAGCCCATTCAGGATGAAGTAATACACAAATGGGTACACAGGTAAAAGTACCAAGCGCACAAAAGTCTATACGCTTAGAACGTGGCCCGGTTGATTGCGCTCCGGCAGAAGGGCTCGGAGAACTATTCGGAGGATTTGCCGGAAGTGTGCTACAGTGTTGGTGCAATCGGATAACCCTCAGCTTCGTCACCTTCACCCATCAATCTTCTATTCCTTTTCCTCACTGCAACAATCTCGATATGCGCAGGAGTCGTTGTGCCTCCATCGGCTCCCGTGGGACCACTGGTGATCGAAGAAGTCACCGAGAACTCAATTCGACTGTCCTGGAAGCCGCCCCTCAACGACGGTGGGGACGCCGTTGCCAATTACATCGTCGAATATCGAGATGTGTCTGCTGCTGAGGTACAAATTTGCTATATTGTTGAAGTGTTTGCTATGGCTCCACTACAGCTTACTTGCGCGATCTGACTGAGAAAATGAGTCTGTTTCACTTGCTTAGGTGCCCTAACTTTACCATGAAGTGTATCTATTTATTACTTTTGTCTGTTTACTTGAACGTTAGGTCTGTTTTAACTATAAGTTTATCTGTGAGCTTCAATCGAATAATTCTCGTGTGAAAAAAAGTAGCTGGCAGCCGCTGAAAGTCCCAAAATATGCTTCGTATACATCATTTATATTTAAGATCTAGCACCTCTCCGATCCAATAGGAGACGTACTACTTGCGAACCAATGGAGTCCATTGGTGTAAGAATATTAATTACTCGTATATCCACGGACGTTGTAAAGCTTTTTTTCCTGCTTTGAACATTCTTGTTTTTAGAGCTTTTCTATATTTTCGAATAACCTGTCCACTATCGCACTTGACAGGTGTTTTCTCTTGAATGTAGGGCACCTTAACACAGCGTCATAGTAAAAAAGGGTAAGCTTGCAAGCACCGACGCAAGATATGAAGTCGCAACAACACAGCACAGCGCGGTGCTTGCATAGTCTTGGTCCCTATGTCCTCTTTTGCATCTATATACTTTGCGTATAGTTTTGGTCGTTATGTCCTTCTTGAATCCCTATCAAGCAGCTGAAATTTATGTAGGCTAATCCCAAGCTTAAAATGGCGCTTCGCCTGCCAGAAAGAGTACATTGGTTCGAAATGCTACTTAGGTAATATATCGCTTCGATAGGAGCTCCCATTTCTCGATATTGCGGAATGCCTTGCGCTCAGTTCGGAGAAGTATAGCCGCGCTTGGCTTCGCCCCCAGAACCATTGCGTGAAGATGCCCGCTCCCTTTCGCCTCCGGCGCAGATTGCCAAGTTCTCTCTGAGGACGCCTGACGCCCGAACCCGCTTCACCGTCGAGGATCTCAAGTGTCGCCACTTCTACGTATTTCGAGTCAGCGCCGAGAACCAAGCAGGAGTCGGCGACGCGCTCGTAGACAAGAAGCCCGTCCGAGTACAGGCAGCACCCAGTGAGTTTGGCACGCATTGTTTATTGTGCGTAATTATGTATAACAGGTTGTGCGTTGTGGTAAATTAAAAAAAAGTGATTGATGACTACGCTGCTGGCTTGTAAAAATTGACAGTTGAATGCCTTGGCGAGAGGTTGCCGTGGCCATTCTTCTTTAGGTTCGTGAAAAAGTATCGCCTGCCATACAGATGCTATTTCTCGCCTGTTGTAGGGCAGTACCCCCACATCGACGTATTTTCAGCATTTTTAAGTATATTGGAAAAATTACGAAGAAGTTCACTCTCCCTCTTACCGTGTATGTATCGAGTAAATGAATTTTCTTAGAGCAGTAGCCAAATGCAGATTTATTCTGAAGGCCTCCTAAATGGGTTTCGCTCATTCAGTGTACCTGTAGTGAAAAATAAGTGGCGTTATTGAATGTGCCAATACATGCAAAATTGCGCACTGGAAAAACCACATCTCTGTCTTCAAAGCAATGTACGCCCCAGTATTATATTAGTTTTCTTATCAGTCAGATGAAATGCGCTCAGTGCGATATTTTCGAAAACACAATTCGTATAGTGATGCACTGCTGCCTCTCTATATCTCTTTCTCTTGTTTATTTTTTATGCACTCATGTGGGGGGAAAAGTTAACACTCTCTGCTACTAAATACTGCAGGGGCAGAGGCGTTTACCAAGTCGCTATCACAACGAATCACAACTCCTGTCCCAGCATCGATGTTCTGAAGGTGGATAATTAAGTTATAGAAGAGAGTGAAATGGGACTTCACGTGGCTAACGGCACGTACAACAACATATGCACTGATGTCTAAGTTGGAAATATGTGACCACTTGCAACCAATGTGCAGACTGATTACGAGTCTTTCAGTTGACAGCTCAAGCTTAATCGATGTCCCTCGTCGTTTCGCAATGTCTTCTTACTATTGCTTACTCGCGACACTGCAGAGAAGCCTCCCGCTCCTGATCCGCCCGTGGTTGTAGTGCACCCGACCATGCCTGACGCGTGCATCGTGACATGGGCGCCCCCGTGTGACGGGGTGACCCTGTACGTGCTCGAGCGATGTGACCTGGTGGGCGACGTGTGGATTGTGGTCAGCCAGCAGCGAGAGGCCGAGTTCGTGGCACAGAACCTGGTGCCCGGCATCGAGTACTCGTTCCGCGTCAGCGCTGAAAATGAGTGCGGCATGGGCAAGTGGTCCAAGCCGTCCGAGCCCATTGTCATCACAAGGAAAGGTGAACACGTAGCGAGTTTCAAGTTCTTCAGTGTAATGTAAACACATCACTACAAATAGAATGCTTTCAATTCTTGAGGACTGCTTCGCAGTGCGACTTGTGGGATGCCAACTGGGTTTTCTGTGCTAGCGTTTTCAGTGTGTAGCAACCGAATTCAGGCACGCCACTCAAATCGTTATGAATAAAAGTGACTGTGGGAATGCGATAGGCGTTTCTTTGTCTGATTTTCAGGCACTGCCCATGGAACTCAAATTCTTTGTGTAACCGCCAAATAACGTGGTGCTCATGATTTGACAAAAGATTTTTCACACAGCAGGTACATGTTTAGGGTCATAGCTAATATCAAAAGATGTGTTACATGCTACCGAAAGAAAGAGCACGCTATGTTTGTAAGTACACTATCTTTTGTGCACTCAGATTGCCTGAATTCATGCCACCAAAGGGATCTTTAACGTATAGTTCACTCTAGTTCTTCTAATTACCTACAATGTACCTGAGCATCACCACATTAGTGTGTTGGGAAGACTGATTTTATTCGCGTGGATAAAGCATACGCATGCATACTGAGAGGCAGTGAGCAAGGTGACGGAACACGCGTGGATAAAGCGTGCTGTCCATTGCACATACAGCGCAGCTCCAATTGTAAGTGCGCCGTGAATGCACGCAGCGCAGTTCTGAAGTACTTGTTGATTGTTATTTGCACCATTTGACTCGAATACTGTGTTCAAGCATTGAAACTCGGGAAAGTTCGTAGGACATAACTGAATATGCGAACAGCGCAAACTAGAAGTAGGTACAGCGTAACTATGGACAGAAAAAAAAAACACCTTAATGCTCTCCCATCCTACTTTGAATCGTGGAACATTTTTTTTTCCTAGATAAAAACGCTGTTTGCTGTTCTTGTTTATTGCTTCCGTAGTTACGCTGTAACTCATTCTAGGTTGCGCTGTTCGTGTATTCAGTACTGTGTCGCAGCCCTATTGGGCTCCCTTCTTTCTTTTATGGTGGTGTGAGGAGATAAGTGATAATTTAAAGCAGGAGTAATTAGATGCACACTTTCGTCACTAGTGTAATATTGATACTAGGCGGCTGCAACGCACGACAGCTACATTAAATAAATATTTAAAAGCTGCTTCCAACTTGGTTGCTGTTAAAAGACTTAAGGTTGAGCAAAAGAATTTTCCAATTTTTAAACTAAATTCAAATAAAGCATGCATTGCTAGCACGTATATCATGTTTGATTAAGCATTCGTCAGGTCCTCTGCTCAGACAGAGCACCGACAAGAGGTGAGCTTTCAATATTATTTTTTTTCACTTGTGGCACATAAGCAAGGTACGTGTATTTGTGTACGCGACTTATGTCACAACGCATCACATCGACTGATATATAGTGGGCGAAAACCATATAAAGCAGCAAAGAAATTTATATATCCTATATGATCGTAAGCAGTTAATTGCATAGTCTCGAAGGTTGTGTTTTATTCTTTTCAGTTGCATCGATGACAGCGCCAGAGTTTACCAAGCTACTCTCCGACGTCAACATTCTTGTTGACAATGATGCGTGCTTCACATGCCAGTTTACAGGAAAGCCAACGCCAGAGATCACATGGTAAAAGGTTCTTTATTAATAATAATAATAATAATAATAATAATAATAATAATAATAATAATAATAACAGGAATTAAACGCACTTTAAACAGATATGAGGCAGATCACATTGGGAAAAGTATGATTATTTTGTACGCCTGCACTCATTCTATTTAAGGTGCACATAATTAGGTACACGAGTGTTAAAATAAGCATATGCAGAGTTCTTCGTTAGGTGGAGGCGGGGGAGGGGGAGCATGGTTGGCTGATTGCTAAAGATAGTAGGCTTAGCCATGGACGCGGAAAAAAAATGAAACGATGTCATGCTTCTCACAAAGGTCCGATTTTGGTTCCCGGTTTCTCGGGCATCATTACTATTGAGTTTTACATCCCAAAACCACGATATGATTATGAGGGACGCCTTAGTAGACGGCTTCGACAATATCAACCACTCGGGGTTCTTTAACGTGCCTCTAAACCTAAGTTCAAAGGCTTTTAGCATTTTCGCATCCATCGAAATTGCGACCGCCCCAGCAAGGATTATATCCTGCGACTTGGGGTTAGCAGTCGAGCGGGTTGGCTTTTCGGGAGTAAAAGCGAAAAGTAAGCTGTTATTCCAATGCAAGTTCAAAGGTCTTCGTGCGTCATTGTCGTAAAAAAATTGTGTAGATTGACGCGATAGGTCCAACAGAGTAGAAATTTTGTGGCAGACCTGGCACCCCCTCTGATGATGAAATGTGCCTTTAATGCTTTCGAATGGAAACTGACAAATTACCCTTTACCTTACGGAGACAGAGTTGTACATACGTAATGACACATAAACTAAATTGGCCAAGGCGACTCAAGCTCCGGCCACAGATTATGACCGATTAAGGAATGCATTTAAAACAAAGGTTCTCACCCTTACTGCTCTATTACAAAGCTTATTGATAATGCGAAGTATTCCTGAGAGCTACTGGTGCGGTCAATAATATTGCAGTTTGGCCGGATCTACACTACGACCTTTGTTGCTCAATAAACAATTTTATCGGGCCAGTTAGTAAGGATCAATCTTGCTAAGAAGCGCAGGAACTATTAGAAAGAACACACAACACAAGCGCTTGTGTTGTGTGTTCTTTGTAATAGTGGCTGCGCTTCCTAGCAAGATGGACCTTTGTTGCACATAAAAAGTATCCATCTTTCGCTGGGCCGGAAAACCATGAATGAAATGCCTCGACATCACTCCCGTGACGATATTCTTTTGTTTTCGAAAAGGTACAAGGGAGGTCAAGAATTATTCGAGTCGCCACGTGCGGACATCGAGACTTCTCTAGCCAGTTCGACACTGCGGCTCAAACAAGTGCGCCTCGAAGACAAGGGCAAGATTGAATGCCAGGCCCTCAACAACGCCGGTTTGAAAACGACGTCGGCGAAGCTGACGGTTTTAGGTAAGTCTAATACATTTCATGCCATCAGCCCCCATCGAGAGTTCCCCGGGGCATTAACTATAACAATTCTTTGCACGATATCTGTGCGTTAGTTGAGCACACAAGCATGGCTTGTTTTTTTTCTCCTTTCTCACTTTAAATAGCATGCCATACCCAATGAGCAGTATAGCGCAGCATGCCATAACATACTTAGGCTGCAAGGAAAACAGAGGAAGGTGTTGTTTCGTTACACCACTACACATTCTTTTGCTTCCTTTATTTCATAGTGTTTTAGTTGACGCGAAGTTTCTCAAATACTTTTATAGTGTTAAGATGATGTACGACTTTACGCCTAAGTAAGGATATAATCCTCGGCATAGGCTTTTTCGCCTTTTTATTCAGCAACTATGTGTGTTGCATATCAATAACTCTGATATTTTACACCGCAAACGTTTCGTGATCGCTTCTTTCTTTGCAGGCATGACCACTTGTTGATTTTTTTTTCTTCTTTCCAGCGCCACCAAAGTTGATCAGCTCCCCTGCCTACAAAGACGGCCTCATATTTGATTCCGGTGAGACGTTGCGAGTCAAGCTGTCCTACACGGGCCACCCACCCCCAACGTTTCTGTGGAAGCGCAATGGCCAGCCTTTGAGTTTTGACGACCCTAACTGCTCGGTGACCGTCGACAGCGAAGATCAGACGATACTGTTCAAAATCGTGGACGCAGATTGCAATCACCGGGGCACTTACTCGCTGGAAGCAATTAACGAGCACGGTAGTGACGCGTTTTCAGTGGACATAATGATAACAGGTGCGTTTCTCGTTGCTCCTTGTATGCATTCCACCATCACTGTCTTGCTGGCATTGATGAAGTGGATCTTTGATTGATGTATACTTTATATCACGTTACATTAACTTCAAAGGCAGAACAGCTAAATCGTCAAGAATATTACTTGGCTTGTAGGAACTTTAGTGAAGACCTAGAGCACTGCCAGTCAGTCAGAAATGTATACACGTACTGCGGCTACGAGCAATGTCTGTCTAATTTTCCGCAACGCTAGAAAACATGTATTCATGCCACATCTGAGTTTGACATTGATCTAGCAGTAGGAGGTGCCAAGCTTCCTCACTGGTATGCAAACAAAAGTAGCGGAAGCTAATTGAGAGATATTTCAGTAAATATGAATGTGGTATGCATTCACCTATGTGGATTTGCAATCCATTTACGCATTTTTTTACCTTTTTATGTTTCATGTTTTATAAAATGACTTAGCATTTAGTTTTATGTTTTTAACAACCTGTGTATATATAAAGACCTATGATTATACTATAGGTGAACCCGACCCTCCCAGTTTGCCACCAGAAATTACTTCTGTGGATTGGACCTCATGCACGTTGGCCTGGAAGCCAACGGATAATGATGGTGGCAGTCCCGTCAGTAGTTACGTCGTCGAAAAGCGCCTCGTGAGCAAAATATTTTTGTCTTCAAATTTGATTTGACAAACGCTTAGACAAAGGCACAATTATTGAGAAGAAGCACTCCTTTTTCGTTACAGATGGACAATGAGCTTTGGCTAAAAGCGACAACTACCCATCACGAACACTGTACAATTTATGGTCTGGAAGAAGGCGCCAAGTATGCATTTAGACTGCGAGCGGTCACCGTTTACGGGACAAGCAAGCCAGGTCCTAGCACCGAGCCCGTTAGCTTGCCACGACTGGACTCCAGGGGCGACACGCTAGCCACAGAACTAGAGTCAACGGAACAGACTGAAGCTATCGCAACGGAGCAGGAGTTGGAATCCATAGAAGAAGACGTTACACTAACTGTTACCAAGTACGACAGCGATGACCAGCGTTCTTCGCTTGACGTTGACGAATTCCTGAACGAAGACGCCGCTGTTTCTGAGGTGGTGTCTCAGGTTACAGCTCCGCTCGCGCCTAGCGAACTTAGCGACTACGAAACCCTCGTTCCGAGCTCGACAGTCAAGGTAGAATCTGGAGAAATGTCCGAAATCGACAACGACACACTGGCAAAACGTGCCAGTCTCGAAACCAGCGACGTTGCTGTGTGCAAGGCTGTTCCGATTGCGGAAGCCGCTGTCGCAGCAACCAAAGAAGAACCACTACTGGAAGCACCATTCTTGCCTGACCGTAAGGAGGCTGTCGCGCTCCGCTTGAGGGAACACTCGTACGAAGTTATTCCTTACGCGGGGGATGATGTCTTTGACCTCTCCCTCGAAGAACAAAGGTACGAACAGGCTACGTATGGTTACATTCCTCTCACCGTAAGCTGTACAGTCACTGTCTTAACATGGAAGAACGCTGACGATACACCCGCTGTCAAGAGGCACGCAGACGCCGAGCATCCTCCTGGCATTCACCTCGTGCCTCACACATTTCACCTTGTCGTCTTTTCGCCTCCTCTACTTCTCGACCAAACCCATGAAGTATCAGCCCCGCACCTTCCGGAAGGAATCACAGTCAGAGTGGTCACTCTTGCTCAGTGGAACATGTACAGGAACCTGCTCCCCGAGTCATCTTTTCTCATCATCGACGTTTCGGAACCACTTCTCGTTCTAGCACCTCCCCTAGCACTCGAGTCCGCGAGCTTGTTCGTGGACCCCGAGAGGAGACTGCCCATAGTGTGCCGTTTCACTCTCAGTGAGCAGCTACCGCTTGCAGTCAACTATATCATCGATACGCTGCTGACCGAATCGAATCTCCGCAGGCTCCAGCACCCGTCTCGTGCATGCTGCTCGGTGGAATACATTGAAGCTGTGCCCAGTCCCATGGCCATCATAACCACAGTCAAGCCGACCGAACCAGTGCCAAGAATTGTAACGCCGCAGGTGTCGCCCGAGCTGCTGCTAGAGCACCCGATTTACGAACAACGGCGTGAATTGCTCTCGGCTTCACCAGCTGACTCTGGAGTGGATACAAGTTTCGGCTACCAGCGACCGATCATTAGGAGTTCGAAGCCGCAAGCAGGCGGGTACGATGGAGTGTTCTACATGCACGACGCGCTGTACTACAAGAAGGCTGCAAGAGTGAAGGAGTTCGACGTACGTACGAGAAGGTCGTACTCCAGGAGGATCACGTCACTCTCCAGAAGCATCGAGCACGACTACAGTGTCAAGACGACAAACATTGACAGGCTAGAAAGCCGAATTTCATCGGAAATGTCCAGCCTGGAGCATGACCTGGAGCTTCTGCGATCGATGCAGAGCATGCTCCGTCGAGAACTTAAGACTAGAGAGCGACCTTCAGGTGACCAAAACGGTGGTAAGGAAGGCACCAGCGGCCGGAAGCCGGAAGGTACTTCAGATTCGTCGGCGACGTCGCGCGTCAGGCCATACCCGGAGTCAGGATCTCGAGGCTACATGTCCAGGCGATTGTCGAGAAGCGACTCGTCCGATTCCGAGGAACCACAGCCGGTAAAGCTTCGCGCAAAGCAGCAGCCCAAGGGTGAAGCACCCCGTTTCGTGACTCGCCTCGACAACCGCATTGCACCCAGTGGCTACCGAATCAAGCTCCATTGTACTGTGGTTGGTGATCCGATGCCCCAGGTTACGTGGCTTAAGAATGGCATCAAGGTGACGCCCGACATCAGACACATGGAGATTACTGTCGTAAGTATAAGCAGCGGACCAAAGCTTGTTTTGGTGCAAACAGCATTCGTCCTTCGGACGCCTAAAGTTCTTCTTCACGTCTTCCACATGTTACAATATAATACAGTAGATGGGGGCTTTAAGTCTGGTGCTTCATTGGTGTACGAGAGTTGAGTTAGCCCCGCTTTTAAACAAGCTTGAAAAGTCTAAGTGAATGTAACATGAGCGAAATGACGTTACCACAGTGAACGAATGTGCGTGTTTGTACGTTTGTGCTGTTTTCAATGAATCTGTCTATGAAGTTCATGTTTTCTTCAGTGCAACTCGATCGATCACATGTAAGAATGCATGGAAGTAGCCGTAATGCAGAGAAAGATATTTGCTTACCTGCATTCATTCATTTTCCACTGCTGTGTTAGATATGGTTCTTTTCTTCTCTTTGCCTTACAATATAGACCGACTTCGGGATGTGTAGTCTTGAAATCTACAACGTTAAGCCGGACGACACGGCCGAGTACACGTGCCACGCTGTGAACGCTTATGGAGATGCCACTACAAGTGCCTATCTGCGAGTTACTGGTAAGCTGCCACAAAAAACATGCCTTGGGGCGTGCCGGGTAAGTAGGTAAAAAATGTGATCATGAAATGCCATCACTAATCAATGAATCAACATTAATGACAGAAGTGGGTAGCAGCACAAAATCAGTCAAGTTAGAACTCTATTGCCTAACTTATTATTTTTTTTGGAAGTGTTGCTTCTACAGGTCGTTCGATTTCGCAACTCGTTTTCTGCCCAGAGTATTCTGAAAAACTTAGCCACGATGCAAAAGTATCATCTTTATGCTGAATTCATTGTTAGACTGCTGCACAGTTTGATTTATTCATTCTCAATACAACAGGATTCTGATTCTTTACTATAATAACTATATAGGGGACTGATGTGAGCGTACATCTTGGATGTACTGCTTCGCAAAGTCAAGGTATAAGACGGCACTGGTAAAGGTCTTCTTTCATTTTTCGTTCTTAACTTGACTAGCTTAGCGACGGACTTCGAAAAATTCCAGAAAGTTTTAAAAGTTAGCAATGAGCGCTACATGGTGCCAGCTTTTCAACAGATTTCAATTGACAAATTAGTTAACGGCGACGATTGGTGATGTGAAACGTAATCGTCTGTTAAGCATTTCGTAACGAAACGCGGGATGGTAGCTAAGAAAAATTAATCACATACGTTTTCTTGCGACTCTTCTAAAAGTGCTGGTCGGTCTTTGGGATGCAGAGCGCTGACTCCAAACAAGTGAGTGAAAAAAGAAATTAAACTAATTTTTTTTACAACCTTACACTACAAACAGAAAATAGCACAATGGGGAACACGCACAAGAGCAAGCAAAAAAAGAAGTAGTCTTACTGTCGGTATGAAGCTTTTTCTTTTTTTTTTTTTGCAGGTGAAAGGGATGAGACGCCAGAGGAGCCGAGATTCGAGTCGTGTGCCCCGGACCTGAGCGTTAGACCTGGTGGGAAGGCTGTCTTCTCTTGGAGGGCAACCGGGTCCCCAACACCTACGCTCAAAGTGTAAGCGCAGAAGCCTTTATTTCGGCCCAATCATCTCAGCGCTTACGCGTTTAAACAACGTAAACAGTAAAAGAACACGAGTAAGTTCTCCGGACGAAAGCAGCCTGCGAGTGAAGCTATATATATATATATATATATATATATATATATATATATATATATATATATATATATATATATATATATATATATATATATATATATATATATATATATATATATATATATATATATATATATATATATATATATACACGAGGCGAAATTGTAAACAGAGTAAACTGCTAGAAGAACAAGCAAGCCAGTCCACTCAAGCACAAAGAAGATATTTACTGAGACGAGCTGCCTAATTGACTGGCGAGAATTCGCAAACTTTGCTCTTAATTATCCGAACTTCTTTTCACGCCAACAAAGTTCCCTTGGTTGTTTATTGAATGAACCTTCTTTGTTTTTATTTCTTAGCAAGATGCGACTACCTTGCCACAGTTTTAAGAAAATTTTGCAACATGTTTCTGAAAGATCACATCGCGATCCAATTATTTCTAATGGCCATTAGACAACGCGCCTTGCATGCTTTGACTAAGGTGGCTTCGAACAACTGCTACAGTAGCATCTCAATCACTGGCTCCTTACAGCGCTTGATATTTACAGCCTGCTGTGATCAGTCGAGGCGGCTGTACCAGGCGTTAAGATATATAATTGAATACCATTGAGCGTAGTTTAAGACATATACTCCTCGAAAAGCCCGAGTTATTCGATGGGCAACTATAAGAAATCATAAAGAAAAATATCAAAGTTATAGTCCCTCTCTTTCAAGGCAAACACAACACGAAATGAAGCGACGAGAATGAATGACAGTATATTGACGTGCCGCTCTTTCATTTCCCCGTTTTCTTTTTCCACGCTGTGCTTGACTTGGAATAAATTGCCAACACGTCCAAGCTTCCACCTCAAGTGAATTCACATCGGTCAGGGAATACGTTAACGCTCACGGTTCACACATGTGTTTGCGCTGGCGTCAATATAAGCTAGTCTCTACGTTTGCCAGGCCATTCATTCGAATAATCCCGGCCCGATCAATATTGTGCTCAGGCAAGTAAATCGTCAATGGTATTCAGGGTCTACTAGAGTTGAGGTAGGTGGAGTAGCTTTTAATAAAGACCCGCAACGAAGAGGCTAACGCTATGAAATGACCACACCGAGTAGGTCATACTATGTGGCATTGAAATCTCCAAGCATGCGGAGGTAGCTTGTAGGCGGAGGCAGGCCGGTTAATAAACTCTTGTGCATAAATTTACCGACATGAGATCGCTAGCAGCCAATTAACGCTATCGGCATCACGCTGCTAGTACAGATCAAATGTGTACTTATAGGCATGTTTAACAATTCTCCGTAATATAGTGAAAGCAGTATATATGTTGCCATTTTGTCCACTCTGAGGTTACCGTCTATACTTAACGACGCCAATATGGAGATGAGGGCCTTTGAAGGGTCGATTGAAATTCGGGGCACTTACCCACATTCTTACTTTTATTTTTCACGTAGGTGTGGAGAGCGAAGGCACTGCATGCGATGTCGCAAGGACGGTGCGCTAAACGACCACCCACGTCATTCCTTGCGTTTGCAGCTTCCACGCACAATATTTACGCATATACACGCACCAAGGGACCCCCTCCCCTCCCTTAAAAAAAAACACCTTAAAGACAATATTCTGTCAAGAGGATCGCAGAAAAGTCGTTAGGAAAGCTACAAAGGCAAGAGAAGCCTTTAACGAGTTTTTACACCTGGCACTTTGTTTTTGTTTTTTGTTTTTTCGCGTTCGGCAGAATTTCCATGCGCGCCCATATTAAAGCACTATACACTTACCTGTATGCCCTGCGTTCTTTGCAGCTTGTCATTTTTTTCCTTGAAGGGAGATCTTCAAATAGCAATTTGGCCTTATATCGTTGTATTTTCGTTTATCCTCTCTTTTGCTCACGCTATATTAGAAGCCGGCTGCCTGGAGTATACGGCGCATGCCTTAAAAAGCGATATTTAGAGACTTCGCTTCAGGCCGTTCGGCGCGCGTAGGCGCATTGCGCTTTCGCAGTCAATTTGATCGATGTGTAGCGTGCGTTCGCTTCGTTCGAGCACCTGGTTTTGCGTTTTCCACTGGTTCCGATGCAGAATGAAGGACTCGAGGCCCCTGCGCACGAACCTGACGACGGACGTGATCGTCTCAAAGGACGGTGTGTGCCGCGTCTGCATCGCCAAGGTCACACCCGAGGACGCCGGAGTTTTCACGTGCACTGCGGAGAACGATTCTGGGACGGCTGTTTCCACCAGCATCTTAAGAATCGCTGGCCAAGGTACACACTAAACAAGACGCGTTGCGCGAAGCTTTAAGCTTACAGCTGCGACGAATTTCCAAAGCATCGTCTTGATTTTATACCAACATCGTTAATAGAAAGTTAAGTGAAGTTTGAGTTATGAAAGAATATGCCAGCGCAAAATTCTTAATGACCTGACGAGTGCCTCGACTACACCGAACCTTGTCACGCAATACTCAAGTTGATAAACGAGATACTGTAACCACTCTTAGCGTACTTCCTCGCTCGCACTACAGTATATAGACATTTTCATCTTGTTCTTGTTTACCTTTAGCTGCCTCACCACCACTGTTGGTTTTGGTCAGTTTCATTTCTGCACATCTGTTCTTCTTCGTGTTTAACCCTTGTCAATACCTGCAGAATTAACAGATCTGGTGGCGTTGACAGGTACAGATGTCTTAGGCCTTTCAGAGTGGTAGAGGTGCTGGGTTCTGATAGACGTACCACATGCACGAAACCTTAATATGCCATTGCATCCAATCTCGCAGGCTGGCAACGCCAACATCTGCGTGCCCGAAGCGTAATCATATGTGTAGCGCAAAAAGGAAAAAGGCGGAGACACATAAGGAACACATTAACAGGACGGGTGCTAGAACGACACCAACTAGCCCGCATCACCCCCTATATATACTGCCAGAAGCTCAAGCCCGCATTCTTTGCTTCTGACGAAAAGGCTATAGCTGCAACGTCCAGCGGCTGGTAGCTTATACAGCTTCGCCTCCGCTTTTCTTTCAGCGTGATACGAAACTCATAGCAGTTCACTGAAGCTATCTTATCGTGCAACCAGTTTACCTTATCATAAAACATTCATTTGTTGAGAGTGTGCTCTTTATTACTGTCATAATTATCAGAACACGTATACAGACAGGTAGAAGAGGTGCATACGTCATTACGTTGAAAAGCAATGCAGGGTAAGTAGACGGCGTGGTGGCCGGGGAAGGGGGAATAAACATATTAGCTTATTGAGCTTACCTATATACTGATTTCATGCAGGCCTTCCCGCAGTTTCTCGTTAGAAACGTGAGTGATTGTCAGATATTAATTAACGCCAGGTGGCATGCATCGATTGAGGGGTGAGAGCAGCACCAACTGTGCTGTGTGCGCGGAAACATTACGAAACAAATGAAAGGAAAGTATGATTTACATAGCACGATAGAGCCGCCAACTGGCTCTCCTCGTTCTGTTGGCAGTTTCTGTGTGTAGATGCGTGACTGTGCGGCAAGGAGATCAATATAATACATATTACCAATTATCTGCGGTTATTTCCAGTGATCTAAACATGCAGGCTTCCACCTCGAATTCAGCGATAATAATTAATCACTATGTTCATGTAGTCCTGCAAACTATGTCTGCTTGGCTGTAGTTACAAGCTCTGCAGATGATATTAACTATATTCGCTTCAGGAATTTTAAGATGCGCATTTTTTATGAGCATCTACATTACCAGCGGCAGCGAAATTCAGGCACCACAGCAGTATTGAAATGAAGGTTAGAGTGCAAACACACAAGGCACCCCATAAATATAGTACACGACACGCGCAAGTGCTGTGGAACGTCTTGTGTGCTTGGGCTGTAACACTATAGCCTCAGTACTATACACCAACTAATATCAATTGAAGTTCCACCACAGCAATATCTTCTCGAATGCTCGTTCCATAAAATGGCAAGTTCTTTTATTGTTTTCTGAAGCTCGCGATAATTTCAACCAACATAGAGCCTAATAAAAAGTGAAATTTAAAATTTTGGGTCTCCGAAACAGAGCTCTCACTGTAGCCTTTTTTTCGTTCTGGCAAAGTTGTCCGAGGTCATGAAATGTTGTGATAAAAAAAAAGGGGGGGGGGGGGAGGGTAAACTTTTTTTAGCGGGCGTTGTACGTTTTTTTTTACCTTATGTCACCACATTCTTGAGAACTATATCAGCCCACAGATAATAGCGAAGGCTTTCATTGTCAACTCCCTTACTTGCAGATGATAGCGGTGACGAGTTCCAAGAGGAGCGACGCCGCCTTGAAGAAATGCATTTGAAAGACACAAGACGTAAGTTCGACGAACACGCTCTGACACATTTCAAGACCCGGCTGCACCGGCCTAATGCTTTACCATGTAGATAAGTTCGATATAAAGAATATTTTTGCGTACAGAACAAATGTTCAGGGATAAAGTTCTGACGGCAGGCTCATGCTCGCAAATCGAGTACGATGATATGATACGATCGCAAATACTCTGCCGCAAGCTTTACGTAGTGCTACCCAACTTGCCAGAATCAATGCATTGTTGAATATTTGCACACCACCCAGATTATTAACGAGTGTGAACAAACGGGCACGTGCATGAATGTGCAAATTCCACCGTGATGCCAGTTAGCAGACTTGCTTGTTTGAACCTGTTGGGTACAGGTATGCATAATGAGGTTGGAGAACACCGTGATAACCTGACTCGTTAAAGCTGTCCTCGATTAGCTCTTACTTCGTAAATTAATGGGCCATCGTATAACGTTAATGTTAATAACGACAAAAATAAGACAAACTGTCTCAGAGGATTCCTTGATTAAAAACTTGACGAAAATATTTTTACCCGGTACCACCGCTGCTAAGCCGCAGCGGCCGGAACTAGCGCTTTAAGAGTCTTGACAAGAAACCTAGTGTACGAGAAATAGAATTCAACAACTAACTGGTTTGGGTTAAATTATTCTGTGTTTTACCAGCGGAGTTGATGTTAACCCTATATTATATGTTGGAAACATAAATTATCATCATCGTGGACCGGCACGCGTTTTTTTTTCTCCATCATCATTGTCGTCACCGTTTTAATCTTCTGCTTCGCACCCAGCACATGTGCAGCAATTTCATCAGCTGGGGATACAATAAGAAAATATCTAAATACAATAATAAAGCAATACAAGAAGAAAAACTGAATCCTCCAAAGTATAGCAGCCAGAAGGCTCGTGACCTAGCCTTCGAGTTTAGAACTCCTGGCCCCGTCGTGGACGCGGCTTGCAGACGAGGCGCCTATAGGGGGGTCATTGCCTACTCGGGAACAAATAAACTCATTCAGTCAGCAGCAAAAGCCAGGACTACATAGCTGCCCACCAGCTCTGCTGTCTTTTTTCATAGTTGCGTCTCCAGCTCAAGGTATACGCTACAATTTTACTGTATATGGCTAGGAGAAACAAAAAATCAGCCCTGCCGCGGTGGTCTGGTGGCTAAGGTACTCGGCTGCTGACCCGCAGGTTGCGGGATCAAATCCCGGCTGCGGTGGCTACATTTTCGATGGAGGCGAAAATGCTGTAGGCCCGTGTGCTCAGATTTGGGTGCACGTTAAAGAACCCCTGGTGGTCAAAATTTTCAAAGTCCTCCACTACGGCGTCTCTCATGATCATATGGTGGTTTTGGGACGTTAAACCACAAATATGAGTCAATCAGAAACGAAAAGTCGTTCGGCATCGGTGTCACGAGTGGTCTGAATGCTATGCTATCAGTTACATCGTTCTCAGCATCGTACCCAGGCATGCGCGCCATTGGCTGCTCTGAGTGACGTCATCCAACCCGTCGCAGCACACGCTTATCCGCTCCTACTGAAAGCTTCCACATGGGTAAGCCACGGATAACTTTAGAAGAGTGCCGACTGTGGAAACATGAGCGAGCATGCATTCGCCGGGCCGATGGTGCAGTCGGGGTGCAAAAACAGGCCCTGAGGCCGAGTGCATGCAACTGCGTACCGATGATCCGGCAACCTTCAAAGTCGCGCTTAATCAGGAACAAGAATGCAGGCGCTGGTGGTGGCCGAATTCAGCAAAGCACACTACCAAGTTACCTCGCGATGCCAAGCGCTTGCGGGTACAATAGCGTCGATACGATTGGTATAAATTGGCAGCAGCAAGCACAGGACCGGGTTAACTGGCGGAACATGAGAGAGGCCTTTGTCCTGCAGTGGATGTAGTCAGGCTGATGATGATGATGATGATTATGATGATTATGATGATAATGATGATGATGATGATGATGATGATGATGATGATGATGATGATGATGATGATGATGATGATGATGATGATGATGATGATGATGATGATGATTGGTACTTGTGGGAGCGCGATCGCCGGTGCGAACGCCCGCTTTCGGTGGGAGGTTCTCCAGAGGCACTTCGGCGTCAGTGCGACGTCTGGGACTGCCTCTGGTTTGAGAAAAAACTACTGTGGTTAACTTATTTCGAAATGCATTAGGCGCTCAACACACTCCTCTATGACCTTTATCATGCGAGGCACAATGTGTGGCATGTGAAATCAACACTGTGGCAAACCCAAGCCAAAGGTGTGTCTAACTTCATTAAAAGCACGAAAGTTTAGCCAATATTGTGAAAGGCTTCAGTGCAGCGTCGAGTTGAACCCACCGATTAACACCGGGTCCGCAGGTTTCAGCTTTTTAACCATTTCTACAGAGTGCTTGGGTGGTGATTTTTTTTCCCTTTCATTTCTGATTTATTTCCAGTGTCAAGTATGACATCAGTAGCAAAAGCACTGCTCGGTCAACAGTTGATGGATCGTAGAGAATCACTGCTGACATATTCGTCAGCCGTACATTTGTAGTGCTGATGCGCATACGTAATAAACACAGATAAATGACAGGTCATTCATTGCGACTAGCGGAACAATGGTTCTGGTGTATATGAAACAAAAAAAGAACATAAGAATCAACGAACATATGCACGTCTTACATTGGTCCTTGGGCTCTTCTTTTTTTCCATTTTATAGAAATAACAGTCATGATTGAGAAGTGTCCGCTATTTCAAACATGATATCATGCATGTTTCGAACGGATTGACACGCAACTACAAAGTACTGTGTTGTCAAGCGGTACGAAAAAGAAGAACTGTAGAAATGTGACAATCAATCAATGTTGGCATTGTCCTTTTTCTCAGTTTAAGAAGCATTGTCTGGCAATGTCGTGTGCACATCGTCCTGTAAAAGTCTGTCAAGGTGAAAGGTACGTGTAACCATCCGAAAGTAGTCTGAGGAAGCCCAAGTCTGTTGTCGGGCAAATAAAAACAAGAAAAACAAACAAACTTAGATTCTGTCGAAAAGAAACTTAAGCTTCATGTCATATTCACGTCAAATGGACAACGATGCATTATTGAGAATATCATATATTCCAAGTTGGGCTTCCATGAGCGGGAAATTAAGTTAGAAAAATCGTGCGTAGAAAGCTTTAAAAAACGTTGATGCTTCGAGTGTTTCTAAAAAAAAAGAAAGATCGAATAAATCGGCGGGGACATGACTGTCAAAGCCACCAGGTACTCCTGCCAGTGTAAGTGTCTCTTTGCAAAGTACATCTTACACAGATGTACCAGAACAGTGGTCCTGGCTTCAATACTGAACTTGACATCGGTTGACAGGACTGGAGCAGGCGTGAATGACAGTTCTCGTCTCTCGCGGAGTTTTTTCCCGACACTCGACAAATATAGCGCACATGCAGCGACATCTGGGGCATAACTGGAAGATCGACATGACGTGTTTATTAACCGCATTGTAAATTCAAAGGATTGAAGCGACTGTTACAACGGTATTCATGCGTTTTCACACCTGAATTACCTTGACGTTTGATGTCGCATTGCTTTCTTAACACTTGTATCTCGTCCTATTCACATCTTTTCAGAGTCAGCAACTGCTGTTGAACGAGAACCTACGCTTTCAAGGCCCCACTACGACTTGTCGCCCGAAGAAGACAAGGAGGAATACTACAAGTACGCTAACTGTACTCAAGAGATATTATTTTTTTATTTTATCACCTTAAGATTTCGTTATTGTCAGTTCAGTCAAAGGCATCTTAAAATATACTTGCCCGCCCCGCGCTATATGTTTGAGTGACCTGCGAAATACGAGGTGCATGCTTCAACCAACTTCATAATCATCGGCAAATGCTTATTGTTTACAGTCACACGATTGGCGCGCTTAGCTTAACATTTCGAACATCAAGTGAGAAAGTTTGTCTTCAAGCTTTAGTGCTGGAATATTCATTCTAGATTGATGTTACAATTTGGAGACGCTGATGGAGAAGTGACATGTTGTTGCGAAGATTTCTCTGTTTCCACGTATGGGTGTCTTCTCGACTTATAATATATATCGGTACGAAATCTGAGTTGAAAATAAAATAATATTGAGGCATTTATTTATCACAAATATACAGCAGCGCCACAATAGATATTGTTGGAGATTACAAATGAAAAGCCGTAAATCGACCTGCTTTTTGTTATGGGAATTTGTGAAATTAGATACTGTAACGAGTTTCCGTCACGCAATATACTCTACATTCGTTTCATTACTTCGCCATCTATTACAGCGAAAGCAGTTATGAAATCACAACTCGGATCTCGCGCAGCGCCGTAGTTGCCCGCTGCCACTGGTGTCCACATCGCGCGAAATTAGAAAACAAAAAGAAAAATTGCCCGAATCTACATGTTACACTGTAAATGTCGTCGAAAGACGATAGTCTTGCGTCTGGAGAGAGTGAACAAAACGTTTATTTGATGTTCTGCGCAAGAATATCGGTGAATGGTATTCCGAAGGCGCTGCGTTAGAGTGCCTCGAGCGTGTAGCGGAGGTGAACAAGCGCATCTAGGCATGTTAGACACGAGCGCCATCTGGCAGTTATCTTCGAAAACAAAAGCGTGCGCGACCGCGGAGAAAGATGCGCGCCAGTCTCGGAAATGATAAGGGGTAGAACTCAAAAGGACGGGCAGGTGCCACGGCCTACTACCCGAAAAGTTTTATTATTAATACCGTAGTGGGCATCAAGGAAGTGTGCTTGCCGCAGTTACCCAATAAGTGTTTAGAAAAGGCTCTGAAAGGCGGCTCTATTAGCTTTCGCTGTGAATGTGCTGCACCTTCCGCGCAGGCCTGGTGTTTTATTTTCTTTTTTTTTTCACGGCGCAAAGGAAACTCTAGGTGTTCAAAATTATCCCACGCTAATTTAAAAACAATAAAAATTATCTCCAGGAATCTGGACGCACTTTCTAAGACAGTTTTTTTGCCATAGCAAGTTTGATTGTTCTTATGCGCGTCTAACTGCCATCAAATAATAAATATTTTCAGCGAAGGATGACATTTTAAAAGTCAGTACGTTGCATTCCGAATGTGCGCACGCACATGCCATGCGTGTATACGCGTAACCATTTCTTCTTGAACATTGAGAAATGCTGCGTTTCTTTCAATTATAACTGGGTTTTTTAAAGTGTCATTGCTAGTTCTATCTAGGCGCTTCAGCTGTCTAATAATGACTCGGAGCCTCTAAATACGCCACAGTCTTCATTTCAAAGATGCCCTGAGGGCTCTACAAACTATATATAGACATACTTTGTGTGCCAGGAGGGATAAAAGCGTTCGTGAAAGGTCGACGTCAATAATTTGTTCTGTAAATATCTCAATTTTCTCCAGGCCGAGACGCCACTTCAAGACGTACGGAATGCTCGGCCTAAATTACTTGGAGGACGTCCCACGAACGACTCACGAGCCATTCTGTAAGTACGCGTAAACAGATGTCAATCTGCGTAGTACACTGCTGCTGAGAAATTTATTACATTTACCCGGTCGATATCTTTGCATGACGTAAAATCAAAGTTTAACCTAAATTCAAATAATGTTAGGTAGAATTAATACCTTACTTTTACCTAGCATAATAGCGCTGTACCTGAAGCCAAAAATGAATAAAAAAAGGAGAAATATAATCACATGAGCATATTTATTGTTTGATGACTGTTGCTTTGACCAAGAAACCTCTCTGAAGCCAACATTATGACACAAGTTACCTGCAACAGGAAATCACTCGTCTAGTAAAAAAACTCTGGTACAAGCGCCATTCTTTGCTCATCCACTCTTGACCCCTTAAAGTCTTCATCTTCCTCAAAAACTTTGCCTCATTTTGAAGATAAGTGTTCAGGATATGTACTCATGACATGGATCAGTGTTCCATGGTCTAACCTCGATGAAATTGTAGTAGGCCCCGCGCATAGGTATTTCACGCACGTTTCATGCCATTCTTACTTTGCAACAGCCGTCCCTGGGCCTCCGTTGGATCCAGTCATCACGGAGACCGGGCCGACGTCAGCGACTTTGGTATGGACCAAGCCTATCTACAACGGAGGCTCACCTATCACTGGCTACCGCATCCAATGCCGTGAAGTACCCTCCAAGCAGTGGCGTGACAAGGCGACCTCGCGAATATGCCTCTGTGACATATTCGGACTGAAACCACAGACGTGAGTGGATCATTGAAAGATGAGATGCTGTTTTTTTTTTTCGAACCACAATAAACAGTACACAGTTGGCTCGCACAAGCTTCCAATTAGGCGCCTTCAGGTGCAGTGTATAATGCATGTTTACGTAAACGTTAAACAGGTTGTGGGGTAGTTGGGTAGTAATAAGCGCTGTATATATTCACGCATGCACATGGTTCATCTCTACGTATACGTACTATAAAAATTAAGGAGTGTCTAGAAAACTTCTTATATGAGAACTGTTTCTTTGAAATGTTGCGTAGAGTTTCGAGTGGTATTAAACTCACACATTAATTACACACCCTCTGCAGTTACGGAACGAGGTTCTCCAATTTTGTTTGGGAGTTACATCACTGTTAACGAAGTGAACTGTGATAGTTTGGCTACGTTCCCTGTGTTCAATTGGTTTTGACAACATTCCCTTTGTTCTACAAAAGATTTAGCTTCAATACAAACTGCTATGTGTGATTAAACAAAGCAAATGAACGAGGAAGAGGTAGGGTAGGGCTCATCTATGCATCAGAAAAAAGCCACACCTTCACCGAAAAGGCTAAGCTCTGAATTCAGTAGCAATAAATGGGAATGTTACACCAATGTACATTAAAATGGTCATATGGCCGTATGGTTACTATTGAAATAAAACGAGTCATCGTCTGTTTACAAATGCCAAAACGGCTCGTGAAGTTAGCCATAAGTGTTAATTGAAAAGCCACCAGAATTACATTTGAAAATGCAAAAAACAAGCTCGTTAGTCTGTCCTGGCGTCTGCCGTTTTTTCGGCTGGCTCAACTCCTGACTTCACACCAGTTTGTTGACGTTACGACATAAGGAAGTAAGCTCTTGATTGGTCCATGTTCAAAGGACAGAGGCGAATAGCCCCCTAACCTGCTTTGCCATGCAGACCGGCGCCCGCTGTGTATTATCTCACCTGACTATCATGCGGGGTAAACTGATCTTGCAACGTTTTGTGCATTTGCGATAGCGCATGGGGAGATAACGGCATGTAGCTGTAACGTGATTTGATTGATTTGTGGGGTTTAACGTCCCAAAACCACCATATTATTATGAGAGACGCCGTAGTGGAGGGGTCCGGAAATTTTGACCACCTGGGGTTCTTTAACGTGCACCCAAATCTGAGCACACGGGCCTCGACATTTCCGCCTCCATCTGAAATGCAGCCGCCGCAGCCGGGATTTGAACCCGCGACCTGCGGGTCAGCAGCCGAGTACCTTAGCCACTAGACCACCGCGGCGGGGCTAGCTGTAACGTGTGAAATGATGATAGGCACAGCACTTTGTATTGTTGGGGTGTTTTCCCAAAACAGTCAGTATGTAGTACTGAGTACATAGTGCCTGTAGAAAGCTTCAGTAAGGCGAGAAAGAGACCACGCTCGTGCCATTGAACTCTAAATGGTGCAAGGGTCATATAAACAAAAATATTTGTTATGCACAAGTAAATGCTCATGTTTTGCCAGCATCAATTTTATTATTGATGTTGTTTTGCAGAGAGTACGTGTTTCAAGTAAGCGCTGGAAACAAGAACGGCTGGGGACAGCCCACCATTGCAGTGCCTGAACTGAAGAACTGGAGATGGCGCCAGCAGTGACAACTAAGCAACGAGCGCTCGTTGAAAAATCTTGACTTTCTTCACCGACAGATCACTGCAGCGTCGTGCAATGGTAGCGCGATACTGTGTCCCGATTCTGCCTCGTGTTCACTTTACTTTCAAGAGGGTGGAATTGTGAGCCGACGCAGACCTGCGCGAATTATTACTGCCAGCAGTGTGGTTTGTCCTTTTCATGCAACGCTTCCAACACTCCTCCATGCTCAAGTTGGCGACAAGCTCAATGCTGATAAATAAAGGAGAGCAAAGTATGAAGCTTTGCTCCGTGTTGTGACGTGCGCATCTGACATCAAGCGATATTATTCTGTGCCTCGAACTTATTTTAGAAAAGAAAAAAAAAACCTTAGTGTGTAGAGGCTAGTGACAAGTGAGAGAACTCAACGAAACGTGTAACTGACACCCATCCGTTTTCAGCACAAATTCATAAAAAAATCTATACAGATCTCTCCCAAAGAAGACTTTATTGATGGAAGATATTTGCTGGTCAGGGAATCAAACTCTAGATCAACGCCTCTGTACAGAGGCCGCTGCACGAACTGAGCCCAAGAATTCGATCCCCAAACCATTTTTTTTTCAGCAAAGATCCTTCGTTTTTGCTTGAGGCTACAAATGCATGGTGGTCAGTTATCTACTTCCTAGTTTTGCACCACCTTGCGCGATTCCACAAAACTCATTCGAAATAATCTGGGAGAACATGGTTTCGTTAATTACGTGCTCTAATACTACGGAAACATTACTTCAAGTTCAATAGGCACGTATGCTAAATCCGTGATGAAGAGTCCGTTGCCAGGTTTGCCGCTGCAAATTAAAAATCACGGCGCGTAAGTCATTCAGGGCCAATCGTGTCTTCAAAATGTGTTACTCACCCACGTAGTGGGTGAATGGTTCATGCTTGTAACACACAGGGGTGCACTCTTGCTCTCGAAGAAGGCGCACTTGGTGAAAGACAGTGCGTACTTAATAGACGACTCGCACTGACGCCTCTGAAACAGCCATGCTGGAGCACCATGATGACGGGACACATCCTGTGCACATTTTTCTTTCTTCAAGCATGAACAGAGGCTAGAAAAACGTTCCGGTAACATCGTTATTACATTGAAGCAGGTTAACCACCGCGTGATAACGCTGTCCTGACTCTATAAAAACTGCCATGTTTGAGTACTCGTACGTTAAGAACCTGCAGCCATGACGCCGTCACAAGCAAGCTATCAATAGGTGCCCGCATACGTAACAGCTGAAACCCCGTAGCTAGCATTTTATTCCAGGGGAGGAGCGCGAAGGGTACACTTACTGAAGACCTTTACTATTCTCCATAAGACACATATTTTCATAGCTTGCTTACTTTTCGTAAAACAACCCCACACATGAAAACCTCCAGAAGAAAAAAAAAAGGCAGGGAGGCGAGAGGGGAGTCTAGGGCACCCAACATGGATGCGCGTCTGAGCAGGCGCTCTTAAAAGAGCGCCACTGACCACAGCCCATTTTTATCTTGTGTTAAGTCCAAAAGGAATACTTGTGGACTTTAGCGAATTTAGCGACAAAGCGAATTAGACGAAAAAAAAACACGAAGAATTGAAGAAAAAAAGGGGGGAGGGGTGCACGCCTCTTAAACTTGACACGCTTCTCAACCTTCGCAATTGGTAGCAAGGAGCACGCAGCACTTGTGCGTGCTAGCTGAGGCGCATAAAAAAAAGAAATTATCCTCTTTATAATCCGTTTTGAAGCACAGGCACGAATAAGGCACCGTTCAATGTCTACGAAATTCATTCATAATGAAGCGATTTGAATTTTTTTATTTTTTAAAATTTTTATGTGTAATAAAAGTTCGTCATGGAAACGAAAGAAAGGCCCTTTAGTCATAAAGAATAATTGAGCTTTTGTTTACAATAAATTGAAAAGAATGATGTAAGTGGTGGCGATGTAACTTTTTTTTCCAATAATCTAATAAAAGAGAAATGTAGACATAAACATTCCTTTTGTAATTGTTGCGCTGGCATATAAGGAGTGGCTGCCGCTTGCGTAAGCAAGCTGTAGTAATTGGAGAAAGTTTCTCTTTAGCAGTAAAGCGCACCACATGCCCGGCTGATGCAGCAGCAACTCCAACTTCGGGCGATTGAACGCTTGCCGTACGCAACAACCAAACGTGTAGTACACTTCGGCGTAAACCGCCTTGAGTTTGAGTGCTGCTCTGCGCCCTCTATAGGCGAAGAAATGCACTGCAGTAGCCGATAGACATAGCTTTTTTTCCGTGGTAGCCATGACATAGACCAACGCCTCCTAGATTTCCCGTGCCTGCCGGATTATCGGCGGTCACTTGGGAAGCGGTGGTCGTCGGAGCTACGGCGGTGGCGCCACTCAAGTAGGGGTGTCTTCAAATAAGTTTTTACGTTTTTGGAGCTTGTATGCAACAAAAATAACGCAAAAGTGTTTCAAAAGGCGTAAACGTAATCATAATTAACCCTACGTAAGTGACGCCGTCATTCAGCCAGCAACCTTTTAATACAAGGCATCTTCTGAAATTAGTAACAAACACTACAATTGCCCATCTCAAAGGCCAAGTACAAATACCCTTATTCCTACGTAGGCAGCGCCGCCATAGATAACCGGCGTTTCGCACTCATCCGGCAGGCACGGGAAATCAAGGAGGCGTTGCATAGACGCTTTCAGCCGTCGAGATCTTGCGACACAGCCCCAGGTAAGGTAGCTAATGTCCGTAGCGGGTGCAACACAAGCGCCGAGATCTAGCGTGCGCATCTCCTGCGAACGGACACGCATGCATCTCATCTTAGTTCAGCGCATTCGCAGTCTTACTCTCTGCCGCCCTTAGCGTGTGCAAGGCTGTTGCGCACGCTAGGCAAGTTCTCTAAGATGGAAGGCTTCAATGACTTTTTATTTGATGCAAATTTTATATCTTGAGAGCCTCATTAACCATGCGAAAGTTCATGTTTATACTTAATTTTAGGTCTCTTACACGCTCCGTAATTTACGATGCAATAAACTTCCTCTAGTTGTTCGCCAGCGCTCGTGCTGTGTGTCACCGCTTCTCATCTCGTTCCTGCGCTGCGTCCACGTATTAACTGGCCTTTCAAAACCTCCACACCCCCCCCCCCCCCCACCCATTTTTTTGTAGCCAAGATGGTTGCGAACAAAAGTTTGTAGCCCCTCGCGATCATCTTGGACTGCTACCCCGAAGGTCGCAGGAGCGAATTCTGGCTGCGGCGGATGCATTTCCGATGGAGACGAAAATGTTTGAGGCCCTTGCACTTAGTTGGCGCATGATAAAGAACTTTAGGTGGTTGAAAGTACCGGAGCCCTCCACTACGGCGTCTCTCATATATGTATTATATGGTTTTGGGTTGATAAACTCCAGGCATTATTATGAACAAGAGTTCGTAATCGTACAGGTTCTCATCAGCTTCGTTCTCTCTTCAGCAACGCACCTCCAGCGCAAGCTACAATTTTTCACTCTCTTTTTTTGCCACATAGTTTAGCGACGGCTGTTTCAAATGTAGACAGCGACAAAAACTGGAAAATTCGCCCTTACAGTACTGTAGCTTCCCGAAAACCTTCACCGGGGCTCGCATTCAAGTTTCGCGCCGCACTCCTTCCCTGAGATCTGCGTATATGATGACCGAGTTTGGAAACTTGACCTACCACCTCGGATCGTGCCGCGGCAAAAGCCCACTTGCCATCAGCGAGATGGCTCGCGCAAAGGATTTCTGTCGACGCGCATCGTTCCTTCTTCTTATTTGCTTTGCGCCCAGATTTCAGGCATGTGCGAGTTCACTGCGAGAGGAATAAAAATGCGCATACTCGAGTGCTCTTCTTTCTGTCAGTCCGCCCTGGCTGGGGCGGGAATAAGAATCTTTACTCGACCGAATCGGGGGCCAAGGTTGGGCTCCATGTACTTGTACATTTTTGTGTGAACTAGCGGTGACGTTCTAAAGACACTTCGCACGGAGAGCATAGAACGAGTGCCTGGGGAAAGAAGCGTTACGGGGCATTCGTTACATCAGCGGTGTGGTAGAGCTCGGGGAGTGGCTCCGCTCTGAGCAATGATGCGGGAAACTGCTTCGCACGCACAAATTATCGAACGTTTCGTAGCATCACTGTGGCGACGCAGTTTGACTACGTATTACAATGCACCTCAACGAAATAGCTGCTCTGTCCTGTAGGACGTCATGCCAAAGCTATAGGTCAAATGAAATGAAATGAAAGCGAACTATAGTGGCGTACCAAACGTGAAAAGCAACCGCCGGTGGCCTGCGGCGTCAACACGAGTGATGCAAAACAGCATCTTGCAGAGACATCATCCTATGACGTCATAGGGCGCCACATGTTGTGACGTCATCGTGACGTTACAAGACGAAGTCCGCACATCGTCGCTTAGTCAAACGTACCCATATGCATCAATTAGGTCAATAGAGCTTCACTTGGGCCTAGTTAGTGCATATTCATGAACTAAAATTAGCAGCGCAAACACACGATTGATTTGTGGGGTTTAACGTCCCAAAACCACTATATGATTATGAGAGACGCAGCGCAAACACACGAGACGCCCAACATAGAAAAGGCACGACACACACGAGTGCAATGTGTCGTGTCTTCTTTATGTGGCGTGTCTTGTGTGTTTGCGCTCACAACTTTAGTTCAATACAATCGACTGCGAAGAAAAAGCAGGAGGTGGTTTTTGGCTTGCAATTGTCTTTGATAAATGCACGAGCGACAGAAGAAATTTTTGCTATTCGAGCAAGGAAGGAGGGTGTTCTTGTAATGAGGCAACGAATGCAGATTACGTTATTGTGCAGCGTATGGTGTTAAAATGTCAATCAATAAATAATCCAGCTATTACGCCCTACATCAGTTTGAGACTCGATCTAAAAAGGAAAGTGGCAAGTTTGAAGCTAATTTTTTTTCAACAAAGCATGTTACGGTGTGGTGTGGATAGGCTAGAGACAAACCTAATTTCTAAGGCCACGAATGAAAGTTTGATTTGAGCTCGTGAGAACAACAATAAAAGCCGTATGAATAACGTTCTACGTCCGCTGCACTGGGACATAGAAGGTGCAAATCGACGTTCACACAGAGACAACATGGAATTCGCAAAGCACTCGGACGTGTGTGATATGCTCTCTAAATCGTTGTGGTTTAGCATTTAAGGTCTCAAGAAAAGAAAAACTTGGCGAAGCTCTCGTGTTAGATCTGCCTCGCAGAGTGAATGTAAATCATCTTTGGTTATACTACGCAGTGATTTTGGTTTTGCTGATGGCCTAGTCAAGCTGTAATGCAGCGCTAAA